TAGAAGATTTTTTGACAGATTGGCATATTTTCCCTATTTTCGATTGTCAATTCACTCCAATCCATTTCAAATCAATCCAATACATGTTTAATGATTTTTTTCACATAAAACATGATGCATACAAGTTTAATTACAATCATTTCCACATATTACATGTCAAAAATAAAGTTTTCACAAAGTTTTTACAAAATGAGCTATAAAAGCCACAAGTCAATTTTCTTCATCCTTGAGGCTCGAAATGGGAGTCGTCCGCCGGTGTGAACCCCGCACCTGAAATATTGTCCCATAAAGGGTAAGTCACGCTCAATAGGGTATCTCCTAAAGAGACTACTCCCCAAACCTAGATACATATGAAATATTCACATGCAACAATCCACAATGCCATGAAATGAGATGAGACTCACTCACACACATCAACCTAAGCCCTTCCCGGCTCCTCAACACATGCAAGTGTCAATGTATGTGAATATGTCATCTATGTTATACATCAAATGACATTTACAAATCTAGGGTCTTTTTTGAGGTAGGTATTCATGGACTTACATCAAGGGTAATTCAACCCACACGAAATTTATGGACTTCTACCAAGGGTTCCGCGTACACCCACACACTTTATGGACCGAACCAAGGGAGTGCGTATCCCAACTACCGAGTTTTGCACCCAAGGGATCTTCTATCCCTTCTTGTTAACCCCAACCTAATTTATTGTGCAAACCATGTGACTCAACCAGGCCTTCGACCCAACTTTTCCAAGCCCACCCGTCATCCACCAAATGTAGTGTTGACGACAACCATACACTCACACACCCTCATGATGCAATGTCCCCGTGCATATGCAATGTGATGTACCATTGCAACAACAATATAATGTTCAATATGCTATGAATGACATATGAACTATTTCAACACATTTCATGGGCAATTATAGCCAAACATATAATTTTCATAACTCATCAATGTCAATATATCATAAGTATGTATATATATCAACAATTCCTACGACACAATTTTCAAGCGTGTTATCACATAATCATGCTATCAACACACTAAATTCATCAAGGTATAACATAACCACATAATATGCCCACAATTCACATAACTCAAAAATCATATTAGGTTAATCTCACATATCCAATTCAAGATGAAATTTATTTTACTTATTTTTCATACTCATTTCACCAATCCCATCACAATAGGCAAGGGTTAAAATTATCTAACCACCCACCCATTCCATATAAGCATTCTAGGTTAAAAATAAACTTAATTAGGATAAAACTCTACCTCTTGAAGCGTAAACGACGTTGAAAAGCTTTAAGAACCCGATTCAAGCTAGAATCTTTACTTGCCCAAAATCCCGTCCTTAGAATTTTACCCAAACCCGACCTCCATGATATGGTCTTGTAGCTCTCGACGAAGAGAACAATTTTTGTTCTTTAACCGAGTGAATTAGAGCACCGACCTCCGTAGATCGTAGAGAAAAGATGGAGAGCCCAAGTTTTTCCCCCTCTTTCTCCCTAACATGAAAACCAGCAGACCAAATGGGGAGAAATCTGATATTTCTCCCCTTTTTATACTCCCTAAACACTTGGTACTCATTGCGCCACATGACCCTATTTTTTTTGAGTTTGTTTTCGTCCCGGTTCAAATTTAAAATATTTTTATTTTAACTTACTTTAAATTAATTTTTAACTTTTGAAATTTTATTTAAATTTTCGTTTTTGATTCACGCGAGACTCGACCGTCTCATAAAACGTGAAAATTCCAACTATCTCAAAATTCGACGAAAATTGACAGGATAGTTAGATTTCCCGAATCAAATCCAACGGTGAGGTCCGTTTTGTCATCTGAGCTCTAGAGAGATTCAGGTTTTCAACCCGTACCGTAGTGATAAATTACTATTTTGCCCGTTTTTGTAAAAAGTTCAAATTTATCCGGATTTTATAGTGCCAACTAAAATCTTTCCTTTAGTTGAGATTAAATTTTTCCCCATCAGTTGCCCCTAATCAAGTTTCCAAGCTAGTGGAAATTTCCTCCGGTTAAAAATCTAATCGTTACCTATCTTCGATTCTTGAAGCGCAATAACTACGCGTATTTTCAGATGAGGTAGGTAGGGTTTTTGTAACCGCCATCTCTTGACCTATTTAAAGGGCAGTTAGAGTCTTTGGATTGGTAAAATTTTCCTTCCCTCATTGATCTCTCTCCTCAGAAAAAAGAGCTATTTGTTCTCCTTTTAGGTTCTTCCAAGTCGAAAACACTTAATTCATTTTTTTTCCTTGCTACTCTTACTTTTCATGGCTTCTGAAAAATCTTCATTAGAAATTCCCTCCCCTTTCTGTTCAAGAGTCAGGAATAGAGGAGGCTAGACTTATGAAGAATATTCGAGAAGAGACCCTTGAGACCCCTAGTTACTTTACTAGGGGGTTTGTAGTACCATTATCGATATTGATCTTTCTGGTCTTTCGCTCCAAATTCTACATTTTTTATTCCATCTTATTGAGAGCTCTTGGCAGTGATGAAAAAGCTTGTGATTATCATGAAGGGAGGGTTTGTATGTATGAAGCAACCTTCAATTGTAAATTCAATTTTCTTTCTTTTTTATGTTTGCAAATTCTTAGCTTTCTTAAACATTGTTCCTACCCAACTCACCCCAAATAGTTTGAGGGTGTTGATTGGGTTTAGTGCCTTGTGAAGTTATGTCCATGATGTTGGCGTTTTTCCCACTGTTGGGGAGGTTCTACATTCCTTTCAAATTAAGGTAGGACCAAGTTTGGGCCGGTATTATTTGACGAAGAAGGCGGACTATGCTGATTTGTTGACAAAAATTCTTCTCCTGCCAAAGAATGGAAAGATAGTTTCTTCTTCATTTCTGGTTTTCAATGAGAATTTAATCCCTCTGAACCTCTGGTTGCAACCCCTACAAGGGTTCTCTACAAATAAGGTGTAATATCTACCTCTGCCTGTGGTAAGTTTCTTGATTCATTTTCTTGAATTCTTTTTTTATTTCAAGAAACCAAGAAATAAGAGATTTTACAAAGGCCAATTTGCATAAACTGAAGATGAGACCTAAACCTCCCACTCTTTATGTTGTATCTCTGAAAAGTGAGTTCTCTATTTTATCTGTTCATGTTTGTGCTATGTCTCACCTTTTTTCTCTCATCTTGTGAGATTTCTATTGCAGGCTTGGCTTTTCAGCTTTATAAAAGACTGGATAAAGAGGGTCTTAGAAGTGTGAGAGCCAAACAACATAAGGAAGGATTCAGCAACCCTCCCTTGTCAATTTCAAAAAGACTAAGGTCTTGCGACTCATCTGCTTCCAGGTCGCCCCCAACAATTTCTAACTTCAAGGAGCCAATTGGTGTGGAGTCTTTCCACGGTATTCCTTTAATCAAGAAAATGAGGACTATTGAGGGCAAGATATTTGCCTCTATTCCTGGTGATGCTTTAGCTCCTAAAACCAAAATCATTGTTTCGACAGTCTGGAGCAACAAAGAATTTAATGTGAAGTGATTTTAGGATATTATCCGAGGGACAGAGGTGGAAAAGATAGTGAATATGGGGTCCCTGAAAGTTTTTAAGTGCATAGCCCATCACTTTGGGAAGGTAGTACATATCTTCCCTTCTCCCTATTCTTCCATGTTCTTATTCTAATATGGACTTTCTTTGGGCAAATTTCTTCCACTATACTATTGATTTGATCATATAATATATGATCAAATCAATAGTGGTAAGTGAAATTAGTGTTGTTGATGTAGAAATTAGTCCTCTTGACTATTGATTTTAATTTAACAATTTATAAACATTTTAAGTCCAACTAAAAGGTCCCAAAAAAAATAATTCCAATTAGAAATTTTAATTTCAATAATTTACGTTCATGATCCAACCCATAAAATTAGAAATTTAAAAAATCGAAAATTAAAAAAGCAACTAAAAGAATAAAAAAAAAGAGTAATATTATTTGGACCTAAAAATCTGATTTAATTTGTTGACCTAATGATGTGACTTCATTGAAACAATTGAACCAATACTAAGTTTCAATATTTGATAAAGGACACAATCAATTCAAAGGTCATAGTGAATTATGTCAGTAAATTAGGTTAATAAAATAAATTCCAATAGCATTGCTTTAAAAACAATCTACTCAAAAGTGAAGGCGTATTTATCCCACATTTACTCCCTCTCTAATAAAATATAAAAGCATAAGTTAAAACATCTCTTGGTAACATTGACTCACTCTCCTCTATCACACCCGGAAAAAATTAAAAATAAATTAATTTTTGATAAAATTTTAATATTAAAAATAAAAGGTCTCATTTGGTATTATTGCTTTACGTCTCAAAATATCTTGGGCCGCCCTGCAGTCTTATTTTATCAAATGAAAATAGATATCAAAACAAGAATAAATAAATAAATAAACAAAGAAAAAGAACAGAGAATATCTATCCTTCATATTTTATCACTTCAAAGAGTTGAAGACTACTGTAAGAAATTTAATTGTTACATTATTATTAGATAAAATGAATAAATATGCTACCGTTATTTTTTTTTTAAATGTTATAATTAGTGGTGTTAAAAGATAAAATGACTCGTTAATTTGATACAAAACTAAAGGGGTTAAGTTTTCTGTAAGTTACTGATTTCATAAGTTATTGATTTCATAAGCGTATAGATCTGACACGATACGATTAATAAATAAATCGCATACAAATAAAATTAATTAAAAAAAATATACAAAGTAACTCGTTAATATATTATTATTTAAAATTCATATATGATACAAATTCGATATAATATAATTTATTAATTTTTTATTTTTTGACATTACAATTCATGTACATTGACTAATCCTTTTTTTTTTTTTAATATAATCTCCCTGAAATCAGAGACGAACTTGTCCGATCCCATACGATTGATAACAAAGAATTCAAAATGACCTAGGCACCCCTCGACTGCGTTTTTTCCTTGTATTTTTTTTTTACCCCTTCGACTGTTGACGTTACATTGAGTGGTAGGATCTGCTGAAACAGAATGCTTGTTTCCTCAGTTGTGTCTCTCTCTTTCTCTCTCTCTCTCTCCACCATAAGAAAGTTCTTTGTCTTTTTTATTGATTGATTGGGTTTTGGTCTAGAAACGAATCGTTCCTTAATGGCTTCCCAAATTGCGAGACGCATGCTTCGAAGTTACGCGAAGGGTATCTTCTGTAGCCCTAAGAATTCAGGAGCTAGGGTTTTCGATCGAAACTTCACTACAGCCGCGTCTGAATCCAATCTGATCCGAGCCACACTCTTCCCTGGCGATGGTATAGGTCCCGAAATCGCCAATTCCGTCAAACAGGTCCATATCTTCGATCCGAATTATATATGTGTATTATGGAGAACAAAGNGCTTCACTGCGGCCGCGTCTGAATCCAATCTGATCCGAGCCACACTCTTCCCTGGCGATGGTATAGGTCCCGAAATCGCCAATTCCGTCAAACAGGTCCATATCTTCGATCCGAATTATATATGTGTATTATGGAGAACAAAGCATATATTTTGGCTGTTGATTCCCTTTTATATGTTTCATGTATCATTTGTTATTATAGCTTGTGAAATATGGTTTGTGAACTGATTAGCGCCTGAATATTGTGTTCTATGTGAATTGTTTCTTCTCGAAAATTTGTTCAGTGTAGTGATTAACTCTGAACGGAATTGTTTTAAAAGGATTTGGTCGCGTATATGGTCTAACCGAATACCCTTTATAATAGAGCGTAATTGAGAAACATTATTCATGTAGCCGACCCCAAATAGTTTAAGGTTTGTTGAGTTGAGTTTTACAATACTGTATCGTGAGCTTGAAAATGAAATTTAAAAAGGACTATTTCAAATTTTGTACATTCTACTGTTTTTCTTGAAGCTTTTGTACCGCCAAACTACTGCTTTTGTCTTTAGGCTGGCCCCTTTTTAAAGGTATTATTTTTAGCTGGCATCTGGATTTGCTTAGCTTGCTCAAAAGATTAAACAACAACGAAATATCAGTATGAAATTTCAGAATGGGTAGTTTTCATATTCTATTCGGGTGCATAAAATTGAATTTTGTTTTACTCTGTTTTGTATGCAAGCAAAGAAAGTATTTCTGTAATTCTTGTATTTTGTGCTATTTTGTGTTCTTATAATCGAAAATCTCACTCCATCTCCAATGGGTGGGTACGTTTAACTTCCGTGCTCGTTTTCTCGATATCACTAACATATGTAAGACTTGAAAATCCTTGATACCCTTTCCTTACAATCTAGAGCAAGGATTATATTTTTTTGAAACACAGGCGAGGGTTAATTGTATTGCTGGACAAAATTTATGATGTGCGGCATATTGGGAGTAATATCTAACTAGTCTACATAAAAAAATGTCTTAGTTCCTCTTTCTTTCTGCTTTTGCAGCTGGTGAAAGGATTGTGATTGCTTTGGAACTTTCATTCTGACGTTACTTTTAAATTTCACTGAATTTTGTCATTTGTACGCATGCAGATATTTAGCTCTGCTGATGTGCCCATTGAATGGGAAGAACACTATGTCGGGCAGGAGATAGATCCTCGAACCCAGAGTTTTCTCACATGGGAAAGTCTAGAATCTGTTCGAAAAAACAAGGTTGGCTTAAAAGGACCAATGGCCACCCCAATTGGAAAAGGTCACCGCTCGTTAAACCTTACTTTGAGGAAAGAGCTAAATCTGTATGCCAATGTTAGACCTTGCTACAGTCTGCCTGGATACAAGACTAGGTATGATGATGTTAACCTCATCACCATCCGCGAAAATACAGAAGGAGAGTACAGTGGTCTTGAACATCAAGTAAGCTTGTTTGAATAATATGCAAATGCACACACAATAATAGGTGTTGCATAAACATTTGATGGATTTCCTTGCATCTGATGCTAGGTGGTGAGGGGTGTTGTCGAAAGCCTCAAGATCATTACTCGTCAGGCAAGTTTGAGGGTGGCTGAGTATGCTTTTCACTATGCTAAGACACATGGAAGAGATAGAGTGTCAGCAATACACAAAGCTAACATCATGCAGAAAACCGATGGTCTTTTTCTTAAGGTCATCCTGTTTCAAGTGCATAAATTTTATGTCTTAGGGTGTTCTCCTTATGCCTACCCGTACTAATTTTTTTTTTCTCTCCACTTGCAGTGTTGTCGTGAGGTTGCAGAGAAGTACCCTGAGATCAAATATGAGGAAGTTGTCATTGACAATTGTTGTATGATGGTATGAACATTTTCCTTTACCAAATGTTTGTATTGTAGGTGTGGCTGTGAGCATGCACAAATGTAGCTGAACAAGGTCCAAAACTAGTTGCACAAATCCGCATGTCACCATGCTTTTGGGATGTGATATCATTATGATGGAAATGAGAGTTTCTTACAAGATTTGTTACAGAGTGGCACTGAAATCTACTTCAGAATAGGAAAGTGAGAGAAAAACTAAGAGTGTCTTTCCATGTACAGCTTGTGAAGAATCCAGCGCTCTTTGATGTATTGGTGATGCCTAACCTTTATGGTGATATTATCAGTGACCTTTGTGCTGGATTAATTGGGGGACTGGGATTAACGCCAAGGTATCTACTTATTTTTTCCCTTCTCATGTTCCTTCTATAATTTATATTAGTCGTCTCAACTTATTTAACCTCCTGCACAGCTGCAATATTGGTGAGGGAGATATTGCTCTTGCTGAGGCTGTACATGGCTCAGCACCTGATATTGCTGGAAAGGTTTGTCATCGAAGTTGTTTCATGGTTTTTCACTTGTTTCCTTTCCTCCATTCTTATCAATTTGTTATGAGATATGGATTGACGTCTTCATACTTGATTGCTTGTACTTTAAGCACTTGGGAAACTCCTTTCTCGCACTTGGCTTTTGCATGAGTTAGAATTTTTTTTAGCTAAAAGTAACTTAGTTGATTGTTATGATAACAAAAGCTTTTTTCCCTTACCTGGATTTCATTATAGTAAACATCATTGAATTTCTTAGGTGTAGAATAACTTCTCCAAAACTTTGGGTCCTCTTAAGCTACATTTATGTCTGAACTTGCTATCTGGGGATATGCAGAGAAGGCCATTATGTATCAGGAAGCCCTTTCCTACACGTGGGATGAAACTCAATTCAACTGGCTTCCTTTGGGTCACTGCAGTCAGAGACTAAGGAAATTTTAAAAATACTCAGGAAATGCCTTAACATTTCTTTTACAAAACTGGGAGGCACAAAACATACTCTAAATGCCAAGTTGTTTTGTTGTTGGTAGTTCTATTGGGAGTCCTCTGGTTGGAAGTGTCTTTTGTGGTGGTTGAGGGTGCCTCTTGTTCTGTATTGGGTGATCATAATTCAAAAAGTATCTAAATAGATACTTGTTGATAATTTGTCCTTTTTTTTTGTTTTTCTGGTAGATCCAATGACCTAGCGGTGGAGGCACTAGTCAGAAATATGGAAGCGAGTTTCTAGCCTAAAAGTGATCTGTTTGGGAATTATATATGATACCGTGTTTCACCCAGGGACTCCTTATCTTTAGTTCATCTCAATTTTGTTGTTTAGCAAAGCATTTTTTAATTGGAGATCTGTTTGCTTATTAGCTATCTCTGGTGTGGTTGAATTTATGTAGAATATGGCAAACCCCACTGCTTTGCTTTTGAGTGCTGTCACAATGCTGCACCATCTGGAGCTTCATGATAAAGCCGATAGGATTCAGGATGCTATCCTCAAGACAATTGCAGAAGGGAAGTACCGAACTGCTGACCTTGGAGGCACTTCATCAACTACCGATTTTACAAAGGCAATTTGTGATCATCTCTAAAGAATGATCATAAAAATTTGATTTTTGCAATAGGTTCAACAGCAAATTCTTCCTTGTGATGTTCATTTCGGAGATGCTTTAAACCATCTGCAGTAGTTAGCACAGGGATTAAGACTACATCACCTCGTGATTCCATGAGATATCCCCGCTTATGTTAAACAAGCCATGATAAGATGCTGGCTGAGTTACTTGCCTTTGTGTAGAAATACAACATGATTCCATTCGTGGACTCTTTAGAGCAAAGGATCAGAAAAGTTTCTTTCCTCGGCTTACCCGAGTACTTTATGTGGTTGATTAATCCTTCTTTCCCCATATATGAAATAATAGTTTTGTGATGTGGGTTTTTTTGTTTTTTCTCATTTTAATGTTTGAATTCTCTGTTCTGTTCTTCCTATGACTTTCTTTATTTATCGCTACTTCATTTACAGTTGCAATTGAGGCATGTGGGCTGTGGGTAGATAGGACCTCTCCAGATATGCGGAGTGATGTTGCTTCCTGCCTTTGTTGATATATTGTTCATCCCTTCTGTTTCTAGTATGCTTTCCTCTGACTTTGCTAATGAGAAACTTATATACGAAAAAGGTGGATAATTAATATTAATATTCATATAATTAAATATTTTTTAGGTTGAAAATAATTAACATAATACAAGATAAGAAATTATAAAATAAAATGCTAATTTTTTCATATTATATTATTCATATCAAATATTAATTTAACTTATTTATTATTTATGTTGATAATTTATTTTATTTTTGAGTTGGGTTAGGTTTTGAAACCTCATAAAATAGAATATGAGTGTTTAAATTATTGATTATTCGTAAATTTTGATTGTACTCTATTTTATCTGACTGTATTGATCGATTACCCAAAAGGATTAGATAGGTTAACGGAAGATTTTTTGATATTTCTCAAAAAATCAAGTAGAAATGAGAGATACTTACAAAATTTTTGTATTTTTATTTTATTTTACTCGCATATACATATATATACACACACACGCATATATATATATAAATTAAAATCTAAAAATTTAAAAATTCTTTCTTATATATGATGTATTATGTTTATGGTTTTCTTGTTGTTTTTTATTGTAATTATCAAATTTATTATATTTTCTTTAGTGTTAATTAATTAGTACAAGTTATTTAATTAAATTATTAAAATAATTAAAAAATTAATAATTAAAAAATATGTGTTCACTTTATTTTTTACTCAATTTTTTACCCAATTGTTTTAGATGGAATTTGGATAGAAATAGTATATTTTGGGGAGGGGTTTGGATTGATTTGTTTAAACTCTTCCAAACCCAAAAATGAGATTCAACATTTAATGTTGTCTATATTCATGTTTAGTATGCGCACGGATATATGACTAATATGATAATATATTTGTATTTAAATAACTATTGTGCCTCTTAACTAATTTAATCAAAACTCATGTTTGTTTAGGTATAAAATTGATTTGTTAGCTTAAACCCATTAACCCACGTATGAAAATCACCCCCGGTGGATTTCATGAAATTCATAAACTTGGGTTTAATTATCGGGCATAAAACAAACCGAGTTTCAAACTATGAACTAATTATTTATGGGTTCTTTGGAAGTCGGTACACCTAATTAGATTTATTTAGCAAAAAGTACATAAAACAAAATTTGAGTTGCAAAGACACAAATACTCATTTTAGGGTCATTTAATTCAAAACCTCTTATTTTTAATACACATTGATTCATGTGTGTTTGTTAATACATATAAATACGTATTTAATGCATCTTGATTCATCTGTATTTGTTAATACATGTAAATATGTATATATATATATACACACACACACATACGTATAAACAAGTATATATATATATATATATATATGTTAAATCTTTTATCTAAATTTTGAATTATCTTTAATGCACCTTAATTTATGTGTTTTTTTTTTTGGAAAGTGATTTTGTTTTAAATTATATTTAATGCACCTTGATTCAAGCGTTTATTTTATATATATATATGTTAAATCTTTTATCTAAATTTTGAATTATCTTTAATGCACCTTAATTTATGTGTTTTTTTTTTTTGGAAAGTGATTTTGTTTTAAATTATATTTAATGCACATTGATTCAAGCGTTTATTTTATTTTTATTTTTGGGAAAATATTTTTATTTTCAAATTAATTTAATATCCAAATAATGTAATAGTGTAACAATAATAGTATAATAAATACACTGTAACAAAAACAGTGTTCAGTAGTTTTGTGTATGTGGTAACAAATTCAAAACAGAGATGGACTATTTCGCTATTTCGAATGAAATTATATGTTTGACAAAATGTAATAGTACAATATTTTGTGTAAATAACTTGTTACACTGTTATTGTTACATTGTTATTGTTACATTGTTATACTTTTATTGTTACACTGTTATTGTTACACTATTATACTATTTGGATATTAAATTAATTTAAAAANATTACATTGTTATACTTTTATTGTTACACTGTTTTGTTACACTATTATATTATTTGGATATTAAATTAATTTAAAAATAAAATCACTTTGTAAAAAAAAAAAATGCATGAATTAAGGTGCATTAAAAGATAATTCAAAATTTAGATAAGAGATTTAACAACAAGTATATACATACATAAGTATATATATATACAAACAAGTATATATATACGTATACGTATTTATATGTGTGTGTGTGTATATATATATATATATATATATATATATATATAT